TATATATATCACAGTATCATTTCCTTGCGTCATGCTTAATGTCATCTAGCTAGAATGCATATGATTAGTAACAGGTTAGCAGACAAAATATTCTAATTGTTGAGTTCCATTAACAAACCTTTTTGTTTAAACTCATTTTTCCTAACAATAGATTTTGAGGTAGATGAGTATAAGGTGATGCATATTAATAACATTAGTAAGGTCCACGTGTCTTCCACGTGAACCATATAATTTGTCTAATTGAATTTGCATTGCTTTAAGTTGATTTGAGAAAAATATATTGTTTATCATATACATTTTAAGTTAAATATAAGTATATATAAGTAAAAAATTACTAGGATCATACATATATGTTTACTATGAGAAACAAATTGCTAACAGCGTGATTATATATGAGTTATAACCGGTTTTAATCGGTTATAATCGGTTGAGTTATTTCATATTCAATCATCTCACTCAAAAGAAAACTCAGCTTAACTCTCCTACTTATTATAAATATAAACAATCATTCTCATAAATCAAATCAATTTTTATTACTATTCATCTACTAACATAATTTTAATCACCAATCACTTTCGATAATCTCTCTTCTACTTTTACATCACATCAATTTTAATCATTATATTTTAAATATATTTAATTTCAAACTCAAAATCATCCACTCTTTATACTTTATTCATACTAACTTACTTTAACTAATTTTAGCCAAACAAAATTGGTCAAAACAGGTTGGATTCATATCCAATCGTGCCTAAGAAGCTCAACAAATATTCATCTTGGAAGTTTGAAGACAATCAGTTTAATGCTAATTAAACAAATGTTTCAAGTAAAATTCAATAAAAATTAAAAACACGTACACAAAAACCAACATAAATGTGGAATAATTTTATATGCACTAACACATTGTCTAAAATAATGATATTTTAAATGATATGATAATATGGACTTGGTAAAATTTGCCTTAAAAGCTATTGTAATACTAATAAAACAATGGGTTATATCTATTAGCATTTATATTTTAATTTTAATTTAATTTTTTTTACCTATCGTCTTTAACATGTTACTTATTAATCACTTAATCTATGTCATAGTAAACATTAAATATAAACAATTTGAATTAGGTGTATTCACTTTTATCTAAGAGTACAGAATACTTATTGAACTCGATATAAAATATTTGCATATTACAAAAGTACAATGAACTTTGACATATTAACGTAAGGATAAGTAAAAAGCAATTGTATGGATGAAATTCTTATATTTAATATAAAAATGAAATAATAAAGGTTATTACAAAAAAAGTCATAGTAAAGTGTGATTGTCTTTATAGAAAATATTTATATGTGTCTTCATTGAGAAATATGATTTAACAGCTGTCCATACCCTTAATTTTGTGTCTTCATTGTGTCTTCAATTTACTTCTCGTGCATCATTAGGTTTGCATCAATTGATACCAACCATTACCCATAATTTTGTTTATTTCATATTAAATTTTGTCAAGTAAATTGCTGAATAGTACACCAATTATTCTATATAGAAGGGATATATTAATGCAAAAAAAAAAAGGGTACAAACTATAAACGGTATTCATAATTATAATAGTACACCAACAATTTACATCTATATATAAGGATAGCCAATTTCTATATTGCTATATTTTTTGTAAGGAATTTTTCTACCTATTTTTTTATTTTTTTATTTTTTTTTTGGAGAAAATTAGATGTTTTTTTTTTCCTTTTTTAATTTGATACACAATATAATGTTTTCATGATTTTACCATCCATTATTGTCATTATATTTAAAAAATTTATGACTAATTTATTTTGGTCAAATAAGTGTCTTATATGGATGATTAACTTATAAATATGACATTATACAAAATTAAGATACATTTTTTTATATAGAAGCAAATAATTTTGTAATGTAATAGACATGTACTATAGATCTATGCTCTTTAAATTGTTTTAGTATTTCTAATGTTTCAAGTTTATGATTTATATTTTATGTACTTAATTTGATCAACCTACATAAAAAAAAATTCATAGTTGTATAAAATTATTATTCAAACACAAGTCATTAAAATTTAATTAAATTTACATAATAATTTATATATATTTTTAAATATATTTATATAGATACATATATAAATAAAAGAAAAACTAAGAAAATATAATAAGAAAAATTATTATTTAATCCAAATAAATCTTAAATATCTAACATGGTGACATATGGTTGGACCCTCATAATGGGTAACACATTGAAAACATAAATAAAAAATGTGTGTGAAGTTAGTTCTTAAACAATTATTTAACATGAAATACCACATGTTAGTGCATTTTTTTCGCATTTGTTTGAAAAACATTATGTCGAAAATAAATACAAATATGATAAAAGAGATAAACAACTATTTCAAACATCAATTACATAGCATTAAAATAAAAATGACAATAAAATGAAGAACTAATAATACTCATAAATCATAGGCGTATTATTTGCTCAAAGTAAAAATAAAAAATGACAAAATATAATTTTATTTTATAAATTAAAGTGTAAAAGTAATTAATAACTTATAAAATAATATAAGTTAAATATCAAATTGTTATTATGAAAAATATAATAAAATGTTATTTAATAATACATCATTTTAATTATGGTACTACAATTTGTGTGTTGTATGGGTGGATAAGCTATTATTAGTTAAGAGTTTCACAAGTCTTTTGTACTTTAGTCGTTTATTTTCCATCCGCATGTGTTTCGATTGACACAAAAGCAAGTGAACTATTTTTGTAAGGAATTTTTCCACCCAAAATTTATTGGATGAAAATTAGAAAGTTAACCAAATGTTAAGCCATTAAATATTACGAAGTAATTAATAATTTATAAAAAAATATAAGTAAAAATCAAATTGTTATTATAAAAATATAATAATATTTTATTTAATAATATATTATTAATTATTAAATAACTTGGGTTAATTAACATATAATTTCTAATATATTAAATCCATAACTATTAAATATAAGTTCTAATTAAATCCATAAACAATTCCTATAAGTTCTAATTTTATTAATTATTATTCTCCAAAAATATTAAACTCATTTTTAATAATTATATTACTTGGGTTAATTAACATATAATTCAAAATATTATTCTTTTATAATTTTTATCTTACTTATTGTAAATAAGTAGCATAATATAATTTATAACTCAAATTGAATTAGTGAGAAAATTAGTCAGTATAAGCTAGCTTTTTATTGGGATTTAACAAAATAATTTTTAGAATTTGAAAAATATCTAAACAAGTAAATTGTGGAAATATAAGTTCACATCCAAATCATAAACTAATTTGCATCCATTAACCAAAATAAAATATCCACTAAATTAAAAATTAAAAAAAAAACAAAAATTATAAAATGGAAACAAACATACATATATGTAATGTTTTCATTATTTTACAAACCATTAATGTCATTATAACTAAAAATATTATGACTAATTAATTTGGTCAAATTGCCTTCTATGGATGATTATATTATAATATGACATTATTCAAAAATTAAGATACATTTATATTGAAGCAAATAATTTTGTAATGTAATGTACATGTGCAACAGATCTATGCCCTTTAATTATTTTTAGTATTTCTAATATTTCATGTTTATGTTTCATATTTTATGTACTTAATTTGGCCAATTTGCATAAAAAAATCCATAGTTATATAAAATTATTTTTCTAACACAAGGCATTAAAATTAAACTAAATTTACATAATAATTTATGTATATTATCTAAATACAATTATATAGATACATATATAAAAAACACTAAGAAAATAGAATGAACAAAATTATTATTTACTCCAAATAAATCTTAATATGTAACATAGTGACTTATTATTGGACTCTCGTAGTGGGTAATACAATGAAAAGATAAATAGAAAATGTGTGTGAAGTTATTTTCTTAAAATTTATTTCCACATGTTAGTTATTTTTTCCCGCTTTATTAACACATGTTAGTTATTTTTTCCCATGTTAGTTATTTTTTCCCGCTTTAGTTTGAAAAATTAAAAATATGCAAAAAGAGATCAACCGCTATTTCAAAGACCAATTACATGACATTAAAATGAAGAACTAATGGGTCGCTTATTAAATCATAAGCGTATTATATAAGTTGACATCCAAAACTCGAAACTAATTAAAAAATTGCATCCATTAAC